GCTCCGGAGGCCCTGGGAAGACCAGAAACAGCCCGTTTCCGGACTTCCAGTAGGCCAGTTTTTCGCCCTCCTAGAGCCTCTGCACAAGCCCTGTACTTACCTGGCATCCAAAACGGGCTGCGTGGAAACTCCTGGGAGGGGAGAGGCGGCATGGGCATGCACGCGCTTCTCCCACATGCGCAGTAGAGACCCGAAAATCAGTTGGCCGGTGCACACATGCGCGGTGGAGCTGATCTAGGGCTACTGCTTGCATACACATAGAAATGGCTCCGCATTCCACAGGTTCACCATCACCGCCCTATACCCTCCAGTTTTGCCCAACTGAAGGTTACAAAGACAGATTATTATTATTATTATTATCATTATCATTATTATTATTATTATTATTATTATTATTATTATTATTATTTATTGAATTTGTATACCGCCCTACTCCCGAAGGACTCAGGGTGGTGAACAGCCGAATAAAATACATATAATATAAATGTTTAAAAAACCATTAAAATACAATTAAATAATTGGCCCGGAAAATGAAATTTAAAACAACCCAAATTCATCAGACAAGTTTAAAATTTAAAAATTTAAAAAAAAATTAAAAACAATTTAAAAGAGAGGTTAGGCCAGGCCGGCCTGCTGAAATAGAAATGTTTTGATGGCACGGCGGAAAGCACGTAGGTCCGGGATCCTCCGTATCTCCGGGGGGAGCTCGTTGCAGATGACGGGTGCCCCCACAGAGAAGGCTCTCCCCCTGGGGGTTGACACTGTTTGGCCCACGGCACCCTGAGGAGCCCCTCTCTATGGGAGCATACTGGTCGGTGAGAGGCTACTGGTGGCAGAAGGCGGTCTCGTAAATACCCCAGTCCTAAGCCATGGAGCGCTCTAAAGGTGGTAACCAGAACCTTGAAGCGCACCCGGAAGACCACCGGGAGCCAGTGCAGCTCGCGCAGGAGGGGGGTCACATGGGAGCGCCACGTCGCTCCCATAACCACCTGCACGGCCGCATTCTGGACCAGCTGGAGCCTCCGGGTGCTCCTCAAGGGGAGCCCCATGTAGAGAGCATTGCAGTAGTCCAGGCGGGAAGTAACGAGGGCATGAGTGACCGTATTTAACGAGTCCGGATCCAGAAAGGGATGCAACTGGTGAATCAGGCGAACCTGATAAAATGCCCTCCTGGCCACAGCCGTCAAGTGCTCTTCTAAAGACAGCTGTGAGTCCAGGAGGACCCCCAAGTTGTGAGCCCTCTCCGTGGGGCCAACGACTCGCCCCCAATAGTCAGTGATGGCACCAACTGACTATATCGGGATGTCGGAAACCACAGCCACTCGGTCTTGGATGAGTTGAGCCTGAGTCTGTTCCTCCCCATCCAGATCCGTACAGCCTCCAGGCACCGGGACATCACTTCAAGGGCATCATTGGGGTGGTCCGGGGTGGAGATGTACAGAGATAGACAGAGATAGTAGAGTATTAGTTGTCTTAGTAGTATATTTAGATACCTTAAAACCAGTGGTGAAATCTAAAATTTGTTACTACCAGTTCTGTGGGCGTGGCTTGGGGGGGTGGGGTAATGTGACTGGGTGGGCATGGCCAATTTTTTTTTTTTTACTTTTAAAATCATTTTTTCTACAACCTCTTCAGCGAAGAGGTTGTAAAAAAATGCTTTCAAAAGGCTCTGACGATCCCAGCTGAGTTGCCTGATCGGCAGAGGCTTTTTTTCTTTTAAATGCCTCTGATGATCCAATACAACCTCTGAAGAGGTTGTAGAAAAAATGCTTTTAAAAGCATTTGAGGATCCCAGCTGAGCCGTGCGATCATCAGAGGCTTCTTTTTTTACTTTTAAAAGCATTTTTTTGGCCAAAGAGGTTGTAGAAAAAATGCTTTTAAAAATAAAAAAAAAGCCTCTGATGACTGTGCGGCTCAGCTGGGTATGGGAGGGGCAGGGATTTTTGCTACCGGTTCTCCAAACCATCCGCCTCCATCGCTACTGGATCGGGCGATCCGGTCCAAACCGGGAGCATTTCACCCCTGCTTAAAACTGAATTATGTGGGAGACAGACTTCCAGCAAAGAAAACCCAATTCAAGATGTACTGTCTGGAATTCAGTCTCTCACTATCCTGAGGGCAAAATAATCTGACTCAAAATGGCAGATGATGTGCTTTCTTGAGCCCACTGAAACCGTACATTTTCATGAACCACTGAACACAGTATTTAAAATACATGTACTACTTTATGACTCTCATGGAAGCATTGTGCAGCTTCAGCAGTTCGTTGGTTTATGGCAGGAAAACACCGTTTACCATTTTGAGTTAGATTATGTTGCCAGTCAACAATCTGCCATTTTAGGCACTGTAATAGGCCATCTGACATTTTGTAACAGGCAGCCCTGTTCATACCTAAGATCGAGCATTCTTAACCCGGCAACTGCCTGTACTCAGCATTTGGAAATACCCATTTGAAAATATGGACTAACCATCTAAGTTACTGCAGGCTAGATTTATAATATTCTCCAGCAAAATAGATTTTGATAGATATGCTGGAGATAGATCATGGGGACAAAGTTCTAAAAGGCTGTAGGCTAACCAAGTTTTTACTCATTGACTGTTGTAAGAAACTGAAAATATTTTAAATCCTACTGGTTTAATGTGATAATAAATGCTTGTATTGCTAGATAGGAATTAATAAACAAATGTGTTTGTATAATATTGAACACTTTAAGAACTACTGTTTACTGTAGCTAAAAGCTTGTACACACACTGATGTTAATGAATTAGTAAAGAAGTGATGTCTGCCTATTTGACTTATAATTTGGTTAAACTCAATTACACATGTGCAGTCCAGTAAGTTACAAATTATTTGGGGCCCCTTTTCCATTGTGTTCTTCCTGTATTATTTTTGTTACACTACTCTGTCATGTGGATCAGTAAAGAAAGCTAAAGTACGTGAGGAGAAAAAACAAAGGAGGAAATTATTTGAGGGATCTTTCCCATTCCAAGAAATGTAAATGTGTGTGGCCTTTCAACTGCACTTTTGCAAAATATGGAAAAGACTTTCAACCAGATATTTCCACTGGCAAGAAAAATTGTTTGATACTATCTCAAAAGGAGTAAAAAAAAAAAAAAAAACCTTCCCCCTGCTATAGAAACATAAAATAAGTCTCTTGCCTCCCCTAAAAAGAAGATCAAGATTTGATGGCAGCATAATGTATTTGCATAATGTTTGTATTAGATAATTATAGAATTGCAACTATTTGCTGTTGTATCAACATATACATATTTCAATTGTTTATTTTTCTGTCATTTTTTTCAGTTATTTTAAGCACTTGTTATTTTTATAATGTATGTATTTTTGTGTTTTTTTCCTTTGTTTTTTTTCTTTTTCTCTATTTTAAAAGCAATACAATACTTTTACAAATGCTAGGAATATTTTAGAGATCATTCAAATCATGGCATCTGTCCTGTCACCACTAAAATTTGCAACATCATCCTGGTTCTTAGCATTGGGAGCAGCATATCTTTTCTCCTATCCGTTTGCCTCTTTTCTGGGCCTTTCATTTTCTTTTTAAAAGTTTATAAATTGCAAATTGTATAACCCTCCTTTTTCACATTCTTCCCATGACAAGTATTGTGGGTGACTCATTGAAGAAAAATATTTCCAGGGGTCCTGCTCCAGGGGTCTTCTAAGCTTCCAATGGGAACAATGAAGGCTGGAGAGGATGGAAAATTCAGCCAGTTCTACAAGGGGTCTAGAAAAGTTATGTAAAGGATTATATAAAATTATTTTTTCTGTTTCAAATTCTCCTCACTACTGATAATGAGAATTTAGGAAGTAAAGGCTTGTTCTGAAATAATTAAAGGTGAATTTTAAATTGATTAAAATCAGGTACTCTTAACTGCTTGCTCTGATCCATTTTAAAAAGTGTCCCTGATTAATTGGGCAAAAGATCTTTAATGTTATTCCTAATAAAACATAGATTAAAAATAAGGGTAGCAGTTATCATCTCACAAGAGTTAAATGTCTCTTCTCTCTTACCCAAGGAGAATGAATTCCTTCAAAGAAAATGATGGCTGTTGCATTTTTACGTAACTGAAAAAATTAAAACATTTCTTTTAAATTATTTTTAATATGTAAATTGACTACATTTGCATAAGACTCACATGTCATCCTTTTTTGGAGGTGGGATTGGTCTTTTTAAAAAGATTGGGATAAAATGTAATATATATTTCCAATTTTAAAAAACCCCAAAAACTTTATTTTCAGAAAGTTGATAAATTCTCAGTAGAGGTAGCAAAAGGAAACACATCTTTTTTGTATAGATTTTAGTAGAATAATGGATTTTTCTTAAGACACATCCAGTAAATTTAGGACTGCTTTCAAGGTTCTTTTTAAAAGCGGAAGAATAACTTATCTCTATAGGTACTTCTGACCAAAAGAATAGAATAATGCATTTTCTTTATTTTTTTTACTCCACCTATTTGATATTTCCCCTTTCAGTTTATAACAGGGAATGTTCTATGTATGTATTTATTCGCTCATTCTCATCATGCACTGCTAGTTTGGCTACTGCTTTGTCATGATAATGAGACCAAAACACAGGGATGTATTTAAACCTCACTGGATTAGGACTGAAGAACTACCAATAGATTTTTCCTCAAGTGAAACACTGAGAGACCTTATTTCATATAGCACATATAGTGTGCTAAAAACTCTTAGCTTTTAAAAGTGCCACAATCTTTCCTATACTGCATTCATGACAGTGATGGCAAGCAGATAACTGATTTTTTTGCTTTGGTTGTTGTGGTTACCCTCAGTTAGTCTGGTCAAGATTTTTTTAAAAAAATCCCTAAGGAATGCTACCCAGAAGCTGATTTAGGAGACAGGACATAAAGCGTGGCGGGAAGGAACCTTAGTCTCAGCCCAAGGGGACAGAGATTGCAGCCGTATAGATTCCTGCTTTCATAGTGCTGCTTGACTGTAAAATGACGGCCGTTTCTCTCACTTCCAGGAATCTCTTCTTCCTGGAAGGTGAGTGGCTGAGTTCACCCTACTGCCGAGATGCAGCCACACACACTCACAGCCTGTATTCCACTGCTGTTTCCAAGGAGTTGGCTGTGATAACACTCCAGGGTATCTTCAGCAAGCTAGAATAATGTAAGTTAAACGGGGAGGGTGTTTGTCTGGAATAACTCCATGCTGCTTCTGTTTTTATTTACACTTGGCGCCATGGGGAGTGTTGGTAGAGGGTGTTTTTGATGCCACGCAAAACAGTGGAGGAAGCCAATCACTTTAAGCAGAGAGAAATTGATCTGTAGAATTCCTGATGTCTGTGCAACGAGAACAGTGACAGCTTGAAAATGCATCTGCGGGCTTTTGGATATGGATGAACAAGAAACAACAAAAAGAGCAAGATACGGCCAGTTTCTGTTTATCAAAGGAACTGCTAAGCCTCAGTTAAAGATTCCCATTTTTCTCTCCTCCCTTTCCCTCCCCTCCCTGAATCCTGTGGAGAGTTTGGACCATAATTCACAGTGAATGTTATGGCATGATGCAGAAAATACCTTGGTTCAAGTAACTTGATGGTATTAGGGAAAACAATTCTTAGTTCAAATTCCGGATAGTTTATGCTGGCTATTTTGCATAATATTATCACTAACTTCTAATTCAAAACATTATTAGGAATATGCCACTGTTTCTGGGCATACACATAGGTGGAAATGTCCCTCACATCTTTCTGTTTAATCCTTTGAGGAATCAAGGTGTTTAGATAATGATTAAGAGATGATCATCTGAGTACGATCATCTGAATTCTAGGGAGAAGGAGACAAAATGTTTAAAAATTCATAAATACTTAGTTGCACTATTATGAATCCTGGGTTCACCTAGCTGATATTATATATGTCCAGAAAATCCTGGAACATGTTAAATAATGTGAGTGTTAAGAATACAGATGCAGAAGTAATTTACCTGTTTCTCTGTTTAAAGTTTCACCACTCTCTCCAGATTTATTTATTTATTTTGTCACATTTCTACGCCACCCAACTCCCAAGGGACACTGATTTGAGCTGGTGTTCAAAATATTCAATGGTTTCCAGGAAATGGGCACACTTAAGGGGTACTGGAATGTGCAAAAGTTGTTGAGGAATTTGGTCTTCTTTGGAGTGCAATTTCTGGGTTATCTTGATGGATTCTGCTGTCCCAGATGCTTAGCAAGCACCAGCAGGGAGGTTGTCCACATTGTTATCTATATATACATTTGTATTATCATCCTCAGTAGTATGTTTAGAAGCCACCAAAATAAATGTAAGGCTTAAAGAAAGCATATTATTAATAGATAAGTGATACATTTGGTACTAAGGTGCCAGCTGGTAATGAAGGAATATTATCTCACTCTACTGTGAATTTAAAAAAAGATTAATCTAGGCCCTTGTATGGAAGCTAGATTTGCAGTTGCAATAGTCTGTCTCTTGCTTAACTACTAACTGAGTTCACATACTATACAAAATAATGTACACTGGGTGACTTTGGGTCTATCTCAACCTAACCTCCCTCATATGGTAGTTGTAGAAAAAATAGCAAGAGGGGGCTGTGTGTGCTGCCTTCAGCACCCCAAGCAGAAGCAAAATCCAGTTTTAAGAGATAACTAAATACAAGAGGGCAACATAATAAACAACGCCAGAGTTCATACTAGCATGCTGGTAAAGTACATTTTGGCTTTATGTGAGGTATGATCCCAGCTAGAGCATTTCAGGAAGACTAAATATTTTGCCATCAATAAACATTACAGTGCACATAATATTAGAAGTCAAAAGAGTTATGCTAGTGTAGTTATGCTGGTATATTAGTTCTTCAGATATAGTTGTTTGAGTTAGAAGAGCATTTATTTGATGCCTAATCTGCAGTTGAAATCTAATTATGACACAGTTTAGTCATTTTAATAAGAATGAAGTGTAGATTTTTACACCACAGTCTACATTTATAGTTTTGTCTAAATGCTGTCTGCTTTGCTTTCCCACATCTTATGCAAGAAGCATTTTTCTGTTGTAATTATCTTGATTTCTCCTTCCTTGCTTATCAATTCTGATGCAATGGCTCTAGTTTTTCCTAGATGTCAGTTTCCTGATTATTGCAACTTAAACCATAGCTTGATCCTAATTGTTAGTAAACTGGATTTAGTAATAATTAAATATAAAATTGCTGCCTAGATTAGAATTGCATTAAGACATAGTCTGGAAACTCTGGTTTAAACAAACCACAATAATGTCTAAGTCACAGTATTTTAAATTGTGTCCCTTTTTCAAATTGCCTTTAAATTAGGTATGTCTAATTTCTGCAACTTTGCTTTATATGAGACAATTTAAGCATCGTATTGCATTTTAAATTTAATATTATCAGCCAGTGTCACCCTATTCCTTTTCCAATATATTGTTGGCTTCTCAGAGAGGTCGCCATTTATACATTCTTAATCACCTGTAGTTAAGGGAAAATAAGGTTAAGAATAATTTTTACCTTGCAAAATGCTTTGAAAGTTCAAGGTGACATAGTATATGGTACTGGTTTCTAAAATGTCCAGAACACTCTTGCTGAGTGAACTCCATTGCTGCAATAATGCCAAATCTTTTAGATTAAGGAATTTTGGCAGCTAAAACTTAGTGCTACAAGAGACTGATAAGCTCTGAAATTCCATGAGTGCTGGAAGCTTGGCCAAATTTGGCCTGGCTTATAAATGAATGTAAGAGCATGTTGGATAAAGAGTAATTTTAATGCGTTTCCTTTGTTCTGGGATCAATAAGATTTTCTTATGAATCTCTTCAAAATCTCTTAACTAGTTTGATTGAGAAGTACAGCTATAGCTGTGTATTATACAGCTGTACTGTCTAATGCCTGAAATTTACAGAGGCAATTAATAATGCATGTCTAAGTATCCTAAAGATCATTCCTAAACTGAAATGTTATTACAGAGACCTAAATTGATAACAGTTGTATACCATCTCACAAAAACTGAGAAAGAAAAGGTCTCATGATTTGTAAGCATTTATAAATACATATTGAGACAGATAAGCACCCACTCACCACAAAATGTGAATGTAATAGAAAAATAAACATATTTAAGGCATTTTAAGTAGTACATTAGTATAACGTTTGAATAAAAATTGAGATTTTTTTTAAAAAAAATTATATGCAGATAATCCTTGATTTATAGCCATTCATTTAGTGACCATTCAAAGTTACAACGGCACTGAAAGTTGTCTTATGACCCGTCCTCACACTTACAATCACTGCAGCATCTTAACAATCATGTAATCAAATTGCACCTTGTGTTTACAACAATTGCAGCATCCCAGGGTCATATGATCACCATTTGCAATCTTCCCAACCAGTTTCCAACAAGCAAAGTCAGTAGGGGAAGCCAAATTTGTTTAATGACCATATGATTCACTTAACAATGACAAAAAGGTTGTAAAATGGGAGTGACTTTTTAACAACTGACTTGCCTAACAAAAAGACATTCTAGTCACAGTAAGTCGAGGACTACTTACATTGGGCTTTTTAAAATATCAAAACTCAGAAGTAGGCTTATAGGAAGAGGATGCCTAAAACAATTAGAGCATAACTGTATATAGTCTCATGAGTATGTGTGAGCAAAAAATACATGATCTATATAAAAATTTTGTGACAAATACAAAATGATATTATACTGGCAGTAAATTACAAGCAGGCACAGCTAGGCAAGTATTAAGAGGGTGTGTTCATTGTAAGTTTTTTTTCTTTTTAAATACATGCACTTTTACATAATATAATGAAGATGTATAACTGTGAAGAAACAAAGTTCATTAAGTAAATACAGTGTATCTACTGAGAATTTTTCTTTTTATGGTATTCAGTTAAACAAGAAAAATGACAGCAAGTCAGAAGTATTCTAATAAAGGAATGAAATCACACTTCTAATTCATTATGATGTACAGTTTTTGACTGCTGATACATGTATAATGTCATTTTTCCAGATTTCCAAGTGAGCAGAATATTGACATGAGAACAGCAATAGCAATAACACTTAGACTTATATACCACTTCATAGTGCTTTACAGCCCACTCTAAGTGGTTTACAGAGTCAGCATATTGCCCCCAACAATCCGGGTCCTCATTTTACCCTCCTCGGAAGGATGGAAGGCTGAGTCAACCTTGAACCTGGTGAGATTCAAACTGCCAAATTGCAGGCAGGCAGCAGAAGTAGCCTGCAGTACTGCGTTCTAACCACCGCGCCACCACAGCTCTTTATGAGAATGAAAAGAAATAAATCCACACACTAAAGAAATAAAGAGATTTGATGTAGGTGCACCTTGAGATAAAGTAACCTGGCATCATAGATTAGGTTCTCTAAAAAGCCAAATTGTCTAATGTTTTGAACATACTGAGGACCTTGCAATATATAATTGTAAGATGCACAAAGTCTCATTTATATATTTGAAAGTTCATATCGAAACCGAAGGCTCTCTGTCTAATCATTGGTATGATATATAGATTTTTAAAGGAATCCCAACTGCTGCTGCATATATAGATTACAAGCATTCAGGTACTCTAGAAGAACCATATTATTTTGACAATACACATTCAACAGCTGCCAGGATTCCGAACATGTTTGTGAATTCTCAGTCTAATAAACATAAGCATTATAGTCTTCATATAATTTATGTGGCTTTACCAATATCTGGTATCTCCTAAACATTGATCAGTTGCAGATCAGCAATGAGTGATGATCCTCTAATCATCCAAATTAAATTGTATGACAATACAGTATATGTTGTTTTGATTCTGATAAGCTTGGATTTTGCTTCCTATATTATTCACCAGGAGCAACAGTAGATAATTTTTCTGTTGCAGGTTGCAAAGGCTATATCCTCTTCAGTTACATAAGGAAAGCCATTTTTTCCCTCTACTATCTTGGTCATGGAGGAAATATATTTATTTCTTGAGATATCCTTCCAACAAATTTCCCATATTTACCTCTGCTCCTTTCTTCTTTTTTCCTTGCTAAAGGTAGTGGAGATTCCTCTTTGGAAAAGGAGTTTACCTCCACAATTGTGGGGCCCACAGTGAGCACACCAAACAGCCAACACTCCTCCCCAAGCAGGTCCCTTAGTGGTGAGTACACAATTTTCTGATTCCAGTAGGGTGTTTTTGAAATGTGTCACCTGATTATGGTCAGAGCAGAGACTTTTGTTTATCTAAGGCAATAATTGTTTTACCTTTACAGTTATCTGAAAAGGTGTAGATAATAGCCATCAATTTAAAAATATGCCTGGCATTTATTTTGCATTAAGAAAAAAAAAACACTGGAGAAATAGCAGAGTGGGTCTCCCTGGATTTTTCTGCAGAAAAAATAGTAGTTTTATGACATATTGGTCTGAAAAATTGAATCATTCCACAATTTTTGTTCTTATGGTCAATCACCAGCAATTTGTAAACGTAGGAGGTAAAGTTGGATTTTGAGAGTTAGATTTATATAGTATGCATTGGATTTAGCCTTTATACCTCTAGCAAACTTATTTTCCTGCTAAAATAGCACCTGATATTTGTGAAAATGGCCACTCCTTGGTTGCACATGCCTACGGATGCTTCTGTTAGACAGAATGTACATTAAATATATAGAAAATTATTAATCTTAAATTAGTTTGTTTCTATTATTCTCTCTGTGTTAGGTACTTTTATCATTTTTAATTTGAAGCTGAAGAATTTATACAGTTTCCAATACTGAATTGGAAGTACTGCAACAGAACTCATTTCCAGCAATTTAGACCCAGTTCAGAATTTTTTGTAATGCATTCAGGCCCTTGAAGGCTAGTAGTTTTAGCTAGTTATTCCATTACTTGCGCAGTGAAACATAAAAGGAATTCTGCCTATGTTTTGCCAAAGCCCCCAAAGATACCTTCCCTTTCTTAGGGAGAAGCTGGCTGGTGGTGTTGCATCTAATTTGTCTTGATTCATTGCTGGATAAGCCAACAAACTCATGTCCCAGTGGAGCAGAAGTATTGCATAGCCTGTTTTGCCAGCTTGACCAAATACTACTATTCTTCTGTAAGGAGGATTGAAGAACAATAGCTAAGTTATCCAGGAGGGGAAAAAGACATCCAAGGAGACTGGAAAAAGATCCAGATTCAGCCAGCAATAATGTATCTGAGCAGTTCTTGCCCCAGTGAGCAACCTTGTACTTCATAATTGTGCCCAGCAATGTCAACTTGTGTTGGATCTCCAGGGTGCTGTTTTTGATAAATGAAGCCTTTTGTCATGTTAAGTCCATTATTTCCCACTCCCCTTACTATTCTGATACAAGTACCAGCTTCCAACTTTTTTTTTTGTTTTGTTTTTTGCAATATGGAAAACTTATTTAAATGATTTCTTATGACACACATAAACACCCTGTTATTTTTCTGTTGATGAAAACACAGTTTTTAGAGCTGGAGATCCTGGGCTGATATGATGCCTGATCTATATTGGCTCATTGCTACAAGCAAAAGCTGAACCTTGACTTGCAAAAGATTTAAACTGCATCATTATACACACACATACACACACACAGATTCATTCACACACCACATACATATACATTTGTGGGGGGAGGGAGAGAGAAGGAGGGAGGGTGAGAGAGGGAGGGAGAGGGAGAACAAAGTCTCCCTACAATCTTATTTTCTGGAACCAAGAAAAACTCCTCAGTAGCCGAAATGGATGGCATACTAGCACACTCCTATTTTATCCTACGGAAATACCCAAGCCCTGCTCAACATTTTAGTTGTGTACTACCCAGTTGTAAGCCATATTTGTAAAGAGATTTCTTAGGCAACTCTGCTATTGAGTATGTCCTTATACAAACAGAGAAGTAATAAAGTCTGTTGAGTTCCCTATTGCTATTAATACTAGATGCGGATGTGTTCACCATTGGTCTGTCTCTGTGTAGATAGAAGGTTGTCACTTTGGAAAGCCATTAAATCCCATTATATTAAATCTTATTGATTCCCAGTTTTTCCTCAGCACAAAATTGGTCTGTGTGGCACTAAAAGAATAATTGATTCTCCTCCAGCTTTCTTCAAATGTGCTGAACTGCAACTTCCATAATCCCCAATCAACATGATCATTGGTTCAACTTATTGTAGGTATTGCCCTCCAGGAAACTAACTAGCCATGATCTGAGTCACTGTTTACTCCTTCTCATCATGCCACATAAAAGAATCTATATTTGTCCAATTCTTTAAATATAAAGTATTTTAAAGGAGTGAAAAATGTAGAGACTCAGTTTATTGGACATAAAGGCCTAGTTCCCATGTGCAGCCTTTTAATTAATGCCAAAATATTCTGAGTACAGAGATAAATTCTATAAGAAGGCTGCTCTCATTGTCTATAAGTACTACCTGTGTATGCCCATCAATACACTTGTGCCTTTTCTTTGTTCAATTCACATGATAAGCTACAACAGGAGCTGGGGGGAAGATGTGCTGGCAGCGACCTACATTTCTAACTGTTATAATGCTCTGTGGAATGCCACAAATCAAGTAGCTTTTAGAAAAATACATCATAATTAGATGGTAATGGCCACCTTTATTTTAGAGGCTATCTCATAGTGCCGGTGGGTTTTCCAATAACATATAAGAGTAAAAATGCTATCTTTGGAATCAGACTAGACATAGCTGCAGCAGCAGTACACTCACATGTCTGAATGAAGTCAACTATTTCCTATCTGAATAGAAAAATAACTAAATCTCTATCTTCTTATTGTGCTAAGTGCCATTGTTCCAGGCAGTTGTTTTCAGCCTCATACAAGACCTTGTTCAAAAGACCTTGAGGCACAGCAAGGCAGTAAAAGGTTTATACAGCATCCTTTTTTATTATTATTATAAGAAGCTTCATTTTCATTTTTAAGTGAACAGGTCAGACATATCTGGTTACATTTTTCACACAGGTAGAAGAGAAGTTCTTGTCTGAAATCCTATTGAGCTACTACATCTCAGTATTGGCAGCTCTGAACTGTATGGACCATTGATCTAACAATTTAAGGCTTTTTACAATCTTAAACAAGCTTCCCCATTGCATCTAGTCTGGTCCTTGTTTTTGCTACCTTCCACTGCCACAGAATGCTGTGTAGAAGAGAATTCACAGATCAGGAGAAGATGTAAATATTAGATTTCATATTTACAAAGGAATAACTGTGAAATGGAACGATGAAACAATTATATATCATAAAGTAGAGACAGGAAATCCTAATTTTTCATACTGCAATTTGGGAAGCTGTACTGTGATGCAGTCCCTAGCCAAAATGCCCTTTGATTCCTAAGGTGCAAAGTCCCACCTGATATACCCGGTTCCTTCAATCTGTCCTCATTAGAAAAGCATCTATCTTCAGTGTCTCAGAATGGATCTCTCCCCTCCATGGTTACCAGTGATCCTGTCCACATTGCTATTTGGCTGGAAAAATTGTGTAGAACTTTAAGGATCTCTGAGGACCATTGTATGTTTCTTAGCTTATAGACTTTATCCCTAAAGCTTTCTTTTTCTGTTCTGAGAACATTCCAGCATTGTAGCTACATGTCCATTTTCTTTAATTCATGAAAGACGAAGAATAGTTGTACGTAAATGATACCTGTGAAATGCTTCACATTAATTTAACAGTTAATCAAATATGCAATAAATTCCGGAATCCTTTATTAAAAGATAGTGTCTGTTATCTTATTTGGTTTTCCTGCTTTTAAATATGTGATATATTTTAGCTCTTGAAAGCATTCCTTGGACTTCATTTGATGAATAAGATCATAAACACAGTCATGGTTTTACTTAGCGACTGCTTTGTTTAGTGACCGAGTTGATGGTCCCAATTGTGGTTACTAAACAAGGACTTTCTGTAATACTCTTAATAGCCTAAGCAGCAAGGACTTTTGTGGCACCAAAAATAAATAACTTTATTATGGCATCAGATTTTCTACATATATCTCTTTCATTAGATACATGTTATACATAGAGAGGATCTCCACTGGAAGAGGAGAATACTGTTCCTCCTTTCTTATATCAAATCCTAATTTAGTTGTAAATAGTGCAATTTAACCTTTCTTAGATTCATGGTCTTGAATTTCATAATTGAAAAGTTCTATTATGAGATAAAGGGAGAAAAGCATTATTTCTCCATAGTATGCATTATATTAAAATTGTTTTTTAATCCAGTCTTAAATGCCAAAGTTCCTTTAGTAATTTTTAATTTTTGCTCAGTATCAAAGGTTTCATCATCCAGACCCCTTAGGGTGTTTTTTTAAATGCTTACTATTTGCAAGTATTTAATACTATAGTTTTAATTAAAAAAATGTTTGGGTTTTTTTTTTTTTTACCCCCACAGCAAATTCTATCAAGGTGGAAATGTACAGTGATGAAGAATCTAGCCGGCTGCTGTCCCATGATGACCGGCTCATTGAAAAAGAGGACAGCGTGATTGTAGAGGATTCCCTCTCTGAGCCCCTTGGTTACTGTGATGGGTCAGGACAGGAACCGCATTCCCCTGGCGGCATACGGCTACCCAATGGCAAACTGAAATGTGATATCTGTGGAATGGTGTGCATTGGCCCAAATGTACTGATGGTGCACAAACGCAGTCATACTGGTGAGCAGACTTCTAGGAAGCGTGAGCACTAAATGCTGGTGCTTATGCTTGTCCTCTGCATAGTTCTTTAAAGTTAAATAATCTGAGAGACCCTGCTAATTTTACTCAGGCATTCTAAGGTGCTTCTGTATTGAGTTGCCAGGGACTGAAGCAACTCAATAACTATTCTTGTAGTAATGGAACTATGGCCCTTTCCTTTGACAAATCTAAGACCTTTTGGTGAGTTCATTAATAAAATAGGATTTGAACTGGGAAATCTGCTGGTTCATAATCTTTGCCTCTGAATGATGCGTAGCTCTTAATATAGGTCATGAACAGTTTGTATCCTTCATTATAATTTCATCTGGCCTTTGAGTTAATTTTAAACCATTATTGTGGTTTACATTTATCCTAAGTATAGAAATCCTTTAGAATTACCTATAATCCTACACTATTATGACCTATAGTGAAATAAGAGCTTCATTTAAGTCCTGGTAATAGATAAAAAGATTTGGATTTAAAAAACAACCAGAACACTGTACTGTGCCATATTTTTATTGGAAACCTTCAGCCAATATTCATTATTTTTGGAAAAAGTATGGGAAGTCCAGGAAAGTCAGGTCTCTTAATAGAGTTCAGCTGAGTCAGATGTTCCAATCAGATGATGGTCAGGTATGAGTTGAAGGACTTTTCCCTTCAAAGAACACACTTGTGTCTGTTACTATCATCAGAAGTATGTTTTTGGACTATAAGAAAAGAATTGTCAATACTCATGAATCTTGTAAGGATTACAACACTAGTGCCAAAGATTTTGCTCTCCAGGAATCTACAGTCAGGCAGTTAATATACAAATAAATAAAATGCAACACATTTGTTATTATTCTTTAGAGCAGTTGCCCCAACAAAAACAGCTCAAGACCAAGGTGCATTGTAATCCTAGGGATTATAAGGAATCCTAATGTAATGGCAAAGGATCTTCAGGCCACTCTTGCAATGTCTCTTGACAGTGTTCACAAATCTACCATTAAAAAAAAAACATCGATCCCCAGAAAGCACACTGTTGCTCATGTCAGATTACATTAGTGATCCAGCAGGCCACTGGCTTAATATTCTGTTAATAGATAAGAATTAGTGAAATTTTCTGACATTAATGAGAGGCATTATGTTTGAAGAAAACAAAGTGTTGGACTGTCACAAAAAGAACATCCCAACCATGAGACATAGTGATGGAAATATCATCATCTTACAACCTCAGGAGCAAGGTGGCTCACAAGCAATAGTTTAACAATGGATGTTGGCTTATACCAGCAAATTTTATAGGTGATCATCAGCATACATATCCATGAGTCCAAATGAACGTGGGTCATACAGTACAACAGCAGTCCTAATCACATAAAATAATCTGCAATAGAATGGCTGAAACAGAAGAAATTTAATGTTTTCAAAGGGCCAAGTCAAATTCCTAAATTTAACCTAATTGAAATGTGGCAAGACCTAGAGTGGGCAGTTCATGCAGGGTAGATTCCAAAGATTTGAAGTCAAACTGAGCCAAAGTACCTCCAAGACAATGTTTGGATCAGCAACATTAAATCAATTTCCAGTGTTTGGAAAGAGGAGATTTTTTGCATTGTAAGATGCTCTGGACTAGGGCATCTCCAACCTTGGCAACTTTAAGACTTTTGGACTTCAACTCCCAGAATTCCCCAGCCAGCAAAGCTGGAGACTCTGGATTACAATGCTCTCGACCATAAGACACACCTAGCTTTTGGGGACGAAAACAGGAAAAAAAAATCTGCCTCTGCCTCCCAGCAATTTGCCTCCTTGCAGCAAACAGCAAACAGCCTGGTCAGCTTCAGCACAGCCTGATTCAGCATGAGCAGCTGATTGGCGGTTGGATCAGCCTCCCAAAATACTGCCAATCAGCTGTTCCAGGCTGTGGGGATTGCCACCGCCCATCATCGCCACCGCCCATCACCACTGCCACCACCCATCGCCACTGCCACCTATCACCACCTCCACGCGTCCTGTTTTCGGCCTCCACATGCCCCATTTTCGGCCTGTTCCAGGTGGTGGGGATTGCCAGCTCTGTCGTTCTGTGGCAATGGGCAGCGGAAATCCCCGCCGCCTGGAACAGTCTGAAAACAGGACGTGCAGAGGCAAAAAACAGGGTCCATGGAGGCCAAAAATGGGGCATGCGGAGACATGGGTGGCGATGGCAGTGATCCCCACAGCCTGGAACAGTTGATCGGCAGTATTCTAGGAGGCCGATCCAACCGCCAATCAGCTGCTTGTGCTAAATTAGGCTGTGCTGAAGCTGACCAGGCTGTTTGCTGTTTGCTGCAAGGAGGCAAATTGCTGGGAGGCAGAGGCCGAAGGGTGGGAGCAGGCAGGTGGGCAGGGCTTTGCCAACATTTGCTCTATAAGACGCACAGACATTTGCATTCACTTTTTTTGGGGGGGGGCGTAAAGTGTGTCTCACAGACCGAAAAATATGGTATTCAAGTCAGTTATAGTAGTCCTCGACTTATAACAATCTGTTTAGTGACCTTTCAAGGTTAAAACGGCACTGAAAAAAGTGACAACTGTTTTTTAGACTTATAACTGTTGCACCATCCTCATAATCACATGATCAAAATTTAGATACTTGGCATCTGGCATGTATTTCTGAGAATTGCGGTATCCCAGGATCATGTGAACACTTTTTGCGATAATCTGATGAGCAAAGTCAATGGGAAAGCCAGATTCATTTAACAACCATGTTACTAATTTAACAGATGCAGTGATTCACTTAAGATCTGTGGCATGAAAGGTCATAAAATGGGGCAGAATGCATTTAACAATTGTTTTGCTTAGCAACAAAAATTTGGAGCTCAGTTGTAGTCATAAGTCGAGGACTACCTGTACTACAATTAAAGATTCTCATGCATCTTTTAACTAAAACAGTGAATATTGCTTCAGTGAGTTCAGTAAAACTATGACAACAGTTTTGTGTATGGATTTAAAAGTCAAATTTTCATCTAACATTTTAGATCAGAGGTGTCAAACTCATAGCCCGCAGCCCGGATGCATCACGTGCTGGTCACGCCCACCTGCGTTTTAGCGAGAGGGGAGGAAGTTGTGATACGTCATGTGACGTGTCGTTGTGAGTTTGACACCCCTGTTTTAGATAATAGCTCAGTTCATACCATAGTTAAGAACTATTTTTTCCTTTTCTTCCAGCCAGATTCTTGGAAAAGGTAGATACTGGAAAGGGAATGAGTGAAAAAGAAGGGTATAAACAGTATTAGAAATGGTGTTCCTATCACTTCACTTTTAATTCTTACACTGCCCATTGCTTGCTTCAGCCTAACATACTAAACTCTCCCCCAGCAAAATACTTAAGGCATAGGTGGAAAAGGGCATTCCAACCAAAGATAACACAAAGAGAGGACATTGCTGGTATTATGAAAGATAGCATAAGTCAAAAAGGTAACAATATAATGATATTCTGTACATAAACAACTGTTAATGGTGTAATTGTAACTTCAGAGGAAGAGATGAGGACTTGAAAATTTATATCAATTCTAAAACATTTGACCAAATCATTAAAAATCATTTTCTTTGCCACTTGTCAAAAAAAAAAAAGGTGTATGGGGGAATCAAACATTGGGAAACACATAAGATTGCTACAAATCTTATACAGATTTATTCTAGGCTTGTACACCCTGCATGCTTAGAAAATCCACAGTTCTTGATGTCTTGATAGATTCCAAAGGTTGACATCACTGAGCAAAATATTAATTTTGATACTCAACAAAATAAAAAATTAAACCTTATTTTAACAATAAAGAGCCTATCTTTCACAGCTTAATGTGCATTTTCCCCAATTTATAGGATTTTCACTCATCATTTTAAAGGTTGTATAAATGATATCAATTTCATCAAATTATTACAGCTTCTTAAAAATGGATTACTGATTTAAGAGTCTCAGTTGATTGCTCCAAAGCATTTTACGGATGTGGAACCAGAAGCAGCAGTAATATAAGGACTAAATAGTCCAAACAACAAATGCTTGAGTTGAATGTACTGCCAAAAAATGCTCTGAGGTAAATCTTCCTAGGTTCTAAGCTCTGCACATGTTTGTATCAAAGAACAGATTTGATTCACAGGGACAATATGATGAGAGGCTCTGTTTTTGTCTCCAAAAGGAATTCACTGTCTATTTTGTAATAGAGTTATTCCAATATACAAGCTTTATAATGGTTTTTTTTTTTAAAAGAATAGGTTGACACAATGATGAAAAGTCTTTGGTACATTTTTTTCTTGCCAGCAGTACAGAAATGTTTTTCATTGCCCTCTTTTTCAACTTTTTAATCTAACCTATAGTCCTGAAATTCCTGATACTGTAGTTTCTTATTCAAAAATTAATCAGGCCTGACCATGCTGAGCTGCTGAACCTAGGCTAGTGCTAAAAGGATGAGATTATTATGTATGTATGTATGTATGTATGTATGTATGTATGTATGTATGTATGTATGTATGTATATATAAGATAGCTTCAGCAAGACCAAGGAGCCAGACAAGCTTCTCTGATGACCTGCTTATGATATCCCTCCTTCTAGGTGAGAGACCATTCCATTGCAATCAATGTGGTGCCTCCTTCACCCAAAAAGGCAACCTCCTGCGCCACATCAAACTGCATTCAGGCGAGAAACCCTTCAAATGCCCTTTCTGCAACTATGCTTGCCGGAGAAGAGATGCACTCACCGGTCACCTCCGCACACACTCAGGTAAATATCCAACATTTCTTTCAGAATGGGACAACTCGCAGCCAACTCATTGTGGCCAACTTGCCATGGGACAACTCACTGTAGGACAATTTAACAATTTAATTTAATTATTTAAAATAAATAAAAACATTATTTTAACTTCACATTCACATTTCATTTTGTCCCTCCTTTTGCATCATTTAATAATTCTATTCCACCATTTATTTAATATTAGTGTAACTCTTGTCCCACAGCAAGTTGTCCCATGGAAAGTTGGCTGTGGCAAATTGTTATAGACCAGGGGTGAAATCTAAAAAATTTTCCCTACTGGTTCTGTGTGCGTGGCTTGGGGAGGGTGCCCTGTGACTAAGTGGGCATGGCCAACTCAATGTCACTCACAGCCATGCCCACTCAGTCACAAGACCCCCCCATCAAGTCACGCCCACAGAACCCGGTAGGAAAACATTTTAAATTTCTATTCTGCCGCCTGCTCACCACCCCCTCTCCCTTCGCTTTGGGTCGGGGGCTGGGGCCCAGAGACGCGCCATTCACTGAAGCCCCGGAGCTGCCGCCTGCTCACCGCCTGCCTCAACTGGGTCGGGGAATGCACCATTCCCTGACTCCAGCCTTGCCGTGGAGGCGCCGTCTGCTCGCCCTTCGCCACGCGGCATGTCCTACTCCTTACCTTTCTCCCGTGGCTGGCTGCCAGGGAAGGCAAGCGCCCAAAAGTTACCGGAGCTGCTCTCTTTCTTGAATGTGCTGCCACCATCGCTGCCCTGGTCCACGCGCCGGCTGCACAAGCACACACACAACCTGCCACTGATGAATGAATGAAATAAATGGTGTGCACTTGCGCAGCCAGCGCATGGACCAGGGCAGCGATGGTGGCAGCACATTCAAGAAGGAGAGCAGCTCCGGTAACTTTCGGGCGCTTGCCTTTCCTGGCAGCCAGACGCAGGAGAAAGATAAGGAGTAGGACCCGCCGCATGGCGAAGGGCGAGCGGGCGGTGCCTCCACGGCAAGGCTGGAGTCGGGGAATGGTGCATTCCCCAACCCAGTTGAGGCAGGCGGTGAGCAGGCGGCAGCTCCGGGGCTTCGGTGAATGGCGCATCTCTGGGCCCCAGCCCCCGACCCAAAGCGAAGGGAGAGCAGGTGGTGAGAGGGCGGGGCAAGGCCGGAGTCTCTTTCTGGGCGTGTCGCTTCTGCCTGTTGGACCACTTCCTGAAGCTGGCAGCTCTGCAGCCAGCCGCTTTGCTTTTTCCCCCTTTTTCCTCATGGGAGGCTTGCGTGGTAGCACCAGCAGAAGCAATGCGGGGAAGTGGCCCAACAAGCAGAAGTGCTGCACCCAGAAAGAGAAGGGCAAGAGGGGCCAGTGGGCTGCAGAGGCTAAAGCAGGTGGGTGGAGCCTCCAGCTGCCATCACTACCGGTTCTCCGAACTACCGGCCATCCTCGCTACCGGATTGGCTGATCCGGTCCGAACCAGGAGCATTTCACCCCTGTTATAGACCGCATTTCTCTTGGGCCATGGTTTTATCTTGTTAGACAGGGAGACTGGTTTCTTGCTCTGCTGCCAGTGCCTAACCACTGCCAACGTTACTTGATATTAAAGTTAAAGAAAGTCTTATTGCCCTCTGCCAGTCTTTTTTTCTGTTCTAATTTTGGCTCTGTGCCTCCAGTGCTTCCTTTTGATTTTGACACCTTTCTCACTCACATATGCTATATATATATATGTATGTATGTACATATATGTATGTATATACATATGTATATACATATACATATACATATACATATATATATATGTATGTGTATAAAATACTTCCTTCCAAGAACTCATTGTAATGTAGATAGACTCTCAAATCCAGTAGTGGCTATGCTCAGTTTTACTTTAACATACAAGATATGAGTACATTAACCAAATCTTATTTTTAAGAAAAGTTTTTAAATTGAACCAGAAAATCTTTCTGCTAATGACATCACTTTAGATAAAACAGTGAAAATCTCTGGTATGCCATAATAACTAACAAATTGATGATAATGATGATGATGACGACGACAAAGTTTTTCTAAATCACAGTCCACTTCATGAAATGCATGCCATAAAGTTACTGGGATCCACAGAAGCTCATATAGTAATTAATTGTTAGCCCTTGGTATCCTATATTTTCATTTTTTAGCCGCAACAAATTTAGATGGCTACTTCTCTGGAAACCTGTTAAAAATGGCTGTCATAATCCCATGATGAGTTGAATTTATATTTCTTTGTCCAATAGATAAATGTGAGATATTGTCCTTGAATAAAATAAAAAAGTATATTGATAGTTGACATGGGAATGAGTGGAAGGCTTCACAAAGATCTTCTCAAATATGTCATTTTATGTTGTTTTTAGTATAATAACAGCTAGATTATTTTTTTGTAAAGAGCGAAATCTGTTCATCTATCAAGTTGTTATTGTTTTTTCTTTTCCTTGGTTTCTGTATATGGATTGTGTTGTGCCTTTTTAACTTCATAAGTGTTTTTATGTATCTGTAGTACTTGTCACTTCATTTCAAGTGTCAGATTGGAGAAATGATTGTTAGATTTGTCACTATTATGACAGTTTCTTTAGTTCCCCAGATCCATCTAATGATTTCTTATCTAGACAAATTATCTGTTGTAAGAGCTGCACAGACCTATTCTTTGTGGAAGAACAATGTCTCTGTTGTAGAGGACCTTGCAGAATTGGTCCAATAAAAAATAACTGAACTTTGTCCTATTCACAGAATCAACATCTTGAGCGCTTTTCTCTGTTATATTAGAATTTTATAGACTAAAATTAGGTATGTTTCAGTCTCTCTGCTGTATTATCTTAATATGAGTAAGCTTCTTGACAAGTTCCAGAAATGTTTAATTATATCTCTTGATAATTGTCCATATTTGCTGCTGCTGTAAGAGATCAAAGATCCTGAAAGGCATTATTAAGTTGCCTACCTTTGGTGATCATGCTTTGTGGTTTTATATGACTAATATTAATGGGAGACATTATATTGTCCCTATGTCCTTTCTTAGTATTTTAGTAAAATTCACAGCATCCAGTTTCACTTGGAATCTTAGTTATTCTTATGTTCTTATCATTGTGAAATGACCTAGTTTCAGTAAATTTAAAAGCATGAGTTTAGTTTAGTTTAGTTTAGTTTAGTTTAGTTTAGTTTAGTTTAGTTTAGTTTAGTTTAGTTTAGTTTAGTTTACTTCGTCATTACACCTCGTACAATGAAATTAAATGCCATCTTCAGTGTATATTATAATTATAAAAATAAAACACTTTACATTCTATACAATTGAACTGAAAACCAATATTGCATTAATGCTGCACTATACAGTAGAATTTAATATAGTTACTACCCTGGGATAGAAGTTGTTTTCAGCCTATTTGTCCTTGTTTTTATTATCCTGTACCATCTGCCAGATGGTAATAGTTCAAAAAAAGGGTGCCCAGGATGAGATGGATGTTTAAGAATGTTTTGAATTTTCTTAAGGCAGTGGGAGCTATAAAGCTCTTCCAAAGAAGGGAGAGGGCAACCAATGATCCTCTGGGCAATGATGTTAACCCTCTGGAGTGCTGTCCTATCTGCCACTGTGCAAGTGGCAAACCATACACAGGTGCAGTAAGTTAAAATACTCTATGGTGCAGCGATAGAAGGTCACCAACAATTTTTCATTCAGTTGTTGTTTCCTGAGAATCTCAGGTAGTATAATCTCTGCTGGGCCTTTTTGACCAGTGCTGCAATGTGACTGCCCCAGGTCAGGTCTTCTTTTATGATAACACCCAGAAACGTAAAACTGGCCACTTGCTCTACTCGGTCTCCATTGATAAGCAAGGGCTGGATGTCTGATCTATTCTTTTTATAACCCACTATAAGCTCCTTGGCCTTATTGGTGTTAAGGACCAAGTTATTGTCTTCACACCACGAAAGCAACCGGTCCACCTCATCTTGATAGGCAGACTCATTCCCCCCGGAGATGAGTCCCACCACTGTTGTATCATCTGCAAATTTAGTAATAGTATTACTATCATGAGTGGGAATGCAGTCATGCACATAAAGAGTATAGAATAAAGGACTCAACATGCAACCCTGTGGTGTATCAGTGTGAAGAATAAGGGCTGAAGAGATATGATTACCTAATCTGACCCTCTGAGAGCGGCCAGACAGGAAATCCATAATCCAAAGGCAGATTGAATAAGAAAGTTCAAGATCCATAAGTTTAGACACTAGTCTATGTGGAAGTATTGTGTTAAATGCAGAGCTAAAATCTACAAAAAGCATCCTCACATAGCCCCCCACGCCCGCTGTTCCAAATGAGTCAGTGCAGTGTGAAGAGTGATGGCTACAGCATCCTCTGTAGATCTATTTCTTCTGTATGCAAACTAGTGTTTATCAAATGTATGCAGAAGACCAGAAATGATGTGCCGGCAGACCAATTTCTCAAAGCACTTCATGTTGATAGGAGTGAGTGCCACTGGTCTGTAATCGTTGAGGTTATTGATAGGGAACTTCTTTGGCAGCGGAACAATGGTGGAAGCCTTCAAACAAGATGGAATAGTGGACTGGGATAAAGACCAATTGAAGATTCTGGTAAAGACTCCAGCCAACTGATCAGCACAGTCTTTAAGCACTCAGGCAGAGATACCCTCAGGACCAGCAGTCTTTCTAGGGTCCACAGTCCTCAGAATGCTCCTCACTTCCTGTTCCTCTACAATGAGGTTGGGGCTACAATGGGTTGGTGGCTGTATTTTAGCTGTCCCTGATGTCTCCACTTCAAAGCAAGCAAAGAAATAATTCAGCTCCTCTGCCAACGAAGCATCCCCCTCAGCAGGGATGATGTTAGTCGGTTGATGGTTGGTAATTTGTTGAATCCCTCACCACACCTGTTTCATGTTATTGCTATAAAAATTATCCTCAATCTTCCTCTTATAATCAGTCTTGGCCTTCCAAATACCTTTCTTCAGACTAGCTCTGGCAATGCCCCATCACCAGACCT